CGGTCATTTAACTGATTAGGTTCCAATACTTGAGACCTGTCAATTTTATTTGAGCCGTTATACAAGCCGGTTTACAAGTGTCAGAATAAACGCGCTAAGCATCGAAGAAAAAGTGTTTCTTATCAAGTGCTTTTACAATAGAGGCAAAAACTATACGGAGGCGTATCGTGGATTCCGTAGTAAATATGTATCTAAAAAAGTTTTATTTAATCTCAATAAATGGTATTATTTTTTTTTAATACAAGTAAATCAAAAATGAATATTTTTTAAAATAGATAATATGGGACGTATGTGCACGTACATCAAATATTACTAACCTACGCAATAATATTTGAAATAACTTGTCCTCGTAAAAATTTGAGATGCGCACAAAAAGTTAAATAATCCTAATAATAATATATTAAATATAAATAATATTAGAAGATATAAAGAAAACATTTTTTAAAATATTTTTCAGACAATTTCTTATGCCGCTGATCCTCAAATATTGAAGACATTCTATGATGATTATGCAAGTTGTCTCGAAGAATTGAATGTGCAGCGTGAGTATCGATAATGTTATAATTAAATATTGGATTTAAATGGGTATAAATTATAATATAAAATATAAAATATGTCATATTTATTGAATTGAGCCAAAAAGAAGATTTTTGTGTTTCACAGTTTTTGAATTAAAATTATAATCGCAATAGGCATTTCCAAAACAAGCTCTTCAATATTTTTCTTTCAAAATAAAAAAGAAAGCAAAGAATTAATTTTCTCTCTTCGACTAATAATTTTACTATTTTAAAACTAAATTTAATAATAAAATGCGACAAATTTTTTCCAAGAATTCCACTTTACAGATGGCAATATTAAACAAATAAATTGTATATTTAAATATTTTTAAACAGATTTTAGACTTATCTAAAACTTATCTAAAACTGATCTAATTGCCAAATACATATAAAATTATATTATTAAATTTGTAATTTATATATTTCAGAATGGACACCGGAAGTGGCAAAATGTAAAATGCAGAAGGATGGACTGGTACGTTTGTACATATACATATAGATAAATTATCATATTGATAAGATATACACAATTTACACACAGAATAATTTTGCACAAAAGTACTAATATTATTTTATTTCGTAATTTAAAAAAAATAAACTATAACACAAATAAAGTTCAAACATAATAATTTAAGTTTTCAAACAATAATTATAAGATATGTATAAAAACTATTCATATCAAAAAAGAGACCAATTGATTTATTTCTTTACACGATAAATAAAATTGATTCTAACTATGTTTATAAAATAAAAATTATAACGTTTCGTGAATACTAATAATTCTTGATATAACTGATAATAATTTTCGATATTAATACAACAAGTCTAACATTTATGGTATTATAAATCATAGTTAAATCTAAATTTTAATCAAATTTGATTTTAATTTGTCTTAAAATTTTGTGTAGCAGGCATAGTTAGCAATTATTTTAATTTTAAATGCCATTAGCAATTAACTAATAACATGTTATTATTTATAATCAAAAAAGAAAGATGGTCCTAAAATTAATTGCAATATACAACTAATTTAATTGTTTAAAGAGAAAAAAGATTAGTCCTACTTGCAAAACGGTTGGCAATAGCAACAATCATATGTTTACTATATAATTACAAATTTTTAAAAAATTCGTATTTTGAATCATTATTTGTGTATAATGATGTTTGTAAATAAGCAATTGCTCTGTTATTAAGATTGTTCGACAATCAAAGTTGTTAAAAATGCGATAAAAATGTGTTTGTCAAAAAGTAGATAAACGATTGACAATCCCAGCAAGAAATTTTTTATAAGCGGATGCAATCTTTCACTTCATAACGTGACATAGAAAAAACAACATCACCGCATATCTCATCTAGTTCTTATGAAATTTTTAACATTTTTCAATCGTAACTTATAAATATATCACACAAAAATAGTTTTTACATTAATTATAAAAATGGATCTTTCTCAAATCAAAATACGCTTCAATTGTGTATTTTGATTAAATCATGTGCCATTTGAACAATTTTTGTAAACTTATAAATCCCTTAAATTTGTTAATAATAATAAATAAATAATACTATTTTATCAATCCTTCAGATTGACGAACAAGGTGTAATAAAAAAAGACGAGGCTTTAGCAGTATTAAACCTCATCATTTCCGATGAGACCAACTTAAGTCAAGCAAAAGAGATTACTTCCACTTGCATCGATCAAGGTGAATGAAATATATATTTAGTAATACATATTTTGAGTATGATTGACATAGTGTTATTTATCATATATTATTCTAAATTACTATTTTATTATATATAACATTATTGTTATATATGTATATTACTTTATTATTCTATAGCGCGCGTTATTTAATTTTTAATATATTATTATTTATATATCGTTTATTAATATAATAATAGCCAATAAATCGCTCCAAAATTTAAGCTATAAACTATGTTTTTTCATTTCT